GCAATAGACTCCTAAACTACTGAACCGATTTTAATAAAATTTTGCACACTGTATGCAGTTTCATCCAACTTGAAAGATAGGATAGTTTATCTTATTTTAATATATATAAATTACGTGTATAATATATATAAATATTCCATGAAATTAAAATGAATCAAATTAATTCTTTTTTAATATCTTTTGTTATTTTATTTTATTTTATTTTATTTTTTTTTTTAATAGGAAAGCGGGGAAAGAACTCCAATGAATCTTCAAAAACTGCTTACACCGGCTTCAGATTCGCAAGAACCTCTGCATGCAAAAAATAGTGCGTATTTGACGATTTTTCAATCATTGAATCTATACAACAGTATATTTTTAATGAATAAAAATAAATATACTGTATATATTTAAAAAAAAAAAAAAAAACACAATCTATATTTTAGTGTGTTTTTCTCTTTTCTTTTTGTTGTTGTTGTTGTTGTATGTTTTTAGAAAAAATGTTTGCATCCTCGTATTTTTATGCACCAACTCATCCAACTGTCGAGGATCAAGTTGAACTGGCACGTAGAATTTCTTTATCATTGAGCGATGTTAAAAATATGAAGAGCAAAGGTCAATCCATGTATGTAAACAGAAAGAAAAGATCCGTCAAATGGATTCACGATGGCAATGGTAAATTAAATTATTTATATTAACAATGTTGAAAAGTGTCATATATATTTTCTCTTTTTTTCTTCTTTTCTTTTCCTTTCTTTCATTTAAAATTCCAAAATCTTACACAACGTGTAAATTCAATTAATTATTATATTATTAATAATTCATTTTCTTTTTTTTTTTTTTTTTATATACAGGTACTGAAGGTGAAGAGGAACCATCTTCCCCTATGCATAAGGTAAAGAAAATAAAGAAAAAAAAAAAAAAAAAAGAAAAATAAAAATAGAAGAAAATCATACTAGATTGTACTGCTATATATAGTGAAACAAAAAAAATGTATAAATAGGATAAAGTACCTCTGAAGTGTGTAATGAATCCACATGGGAAAGTATTGGATATTCATGGGATTCAGGCTCTTGGTGAAGAAGTTAATATCGAGCCAATGCCCACCCATCCTGAAAAACTCTTCGACATTGTTCGTGATCTTAACAATCAAAGAGGACGTGGTAAGAAGTATTACACAAACATTGTGATATCTTTTTATTTTTTTTTGTTACTTTTAAAATATATAAAAACATCAAACAGGTAACACAGTTCTAAGAAGTAAACAAAAAATCAAATATCTATGTCAAGTATGATAAAAATAATCTTTATATGATTTGATGTTATGTTATTAAATCATATATATCATATCTTTGATAAGATAATGTTTAAGAAGACAATACTTAATCTGATCATCTTAATTTTTTAATATTATGAAAGATTGAATGAAAATAATAACAATGATATTTAAATATATATATATATATACTTAATTTATATTTAATTATATATATTTTTAATTTATAATAATATGACGGATTGATATTTATTGTAAATGCTAAAATATTTGCTAAACATCTTCTTAATATATATAAATTACGTGTCACGTTGTTTGTCCGCAATGGACCCCAAAACTACTGAACCGATTTTAATAAAATTTTGCACACTGTGTGCAGTTTCATTCAACATAGAAGATAGGATAGTTTATCTTATCTTAATATATATAAATTACGTCTCACATTGTTTGTCCGCAATGGACCCCAAAACTACTGAACCGATTTTAATCAAATTTTGCACACTGTGTGCAGTTTCATCCAACTTGAAAGATAGGATAGTTTATATCTTAATTTATAATCGAATTATTTATTTATTAACAAAGAAGAATCATGATTATCTCTGTTCATTCGATAATATTCTAACAGATGGCGGTATAAGATAATTCGTTGACTTAAAGACGTGTGTATCGGACTGATTGTGAGCCACAGAACAACGCGTTGCGGGGCACCCCTAGTTATATATATATATATTTTTTTATACATAATTAACTATATTCTTAATTTATAATAATATGAATAATTGAATAAAAATAATAATAATAATGATATTTTAATGATAGGTGCTGAAATATTTGCTAAACGTCGAAAAAGGTCAGAAAAATGGGTCGTTGATCAGGAACAAGTTAAAACACCTAGTACACCAACTGTAACAAAAATACCTAGTTATCCCTATCAATCGGTAAGATTAGAAAATTATAACAATTACAAAAAAGAAATCCTTTTTTTTTTTTAAATGAATTTTACTAATTAACAGGAAATGAACGGTAACAGCAAATATTCTACATTGCAATCACCTTATTCGCAAACGGATAAATCATTTTATAATCCATTTGCAGTGGATCTTAGTTTAGATAACATCAATCCTCCAGTGACGGGTAAGTATGTTTTTAATTAGAACAATTTCTAATTTCATCATTTACAACATCATCATTTCATTTTAATGAACAATAATTCATCGTATATCATTCGTTAAAACAAATTCAACGAATAGGAAACGAAAAAACAAAATGAAAGAACACACATACAGAAGCCTAATTTTCTAATGCTAAAGCATTTGCATCAGAGTAGTATAACCCCCATCTGATTTTGCTATTTACGTTGCATCGATCACTTATAAATAATTCAACGGGTCTAAATGCAAAAGAAGAAACGTTCTAGAATTCCTTAGGCACTTGATACCTTGTTACTTCGTCGTTGTAGGGATCAATGTTAGACTATGTTGGATTAAAATCACTTAGGTAAAAGTTCACCAACCCGTTGAGTTCCAATTGGCAAGCTACTACGTTAAAATGTTATTTAATCGGTACCAACATTCGTAGTTATTTTTTTTTTTTCTTATTTATTTGCCTCGTCTTACATATACATATATATATATTTAATTAACCATAATTATAAATAATTGATTTGTTTATATTTTTATCTTCATTTTATCATCACATTATTTTTATGTTAGTTTTATTTTGTTTGCCTGATCTTACACAACATACACACACACACACATATATATGTATATTATATATATTTAATTTAAAATAATTATCATTTTTTGTTTAATATTAAAGTGAAATTAATGAAAATAATTGTAGATTCGGTTTTAAACAAAATTCATATTATTTATCATCGTTATTTCGAATGAATTCGTTTAATCATTTTAGGCAGGTCTCATCATAACAATAGTAATAATAATAATAATAATAATCATCATAATGATCATTATTATCATCATCAACAACAACAACAACAACAACATCGTCATCGTTCATGTCAATTAACAAACGATTGCAATCATTCGACAAAAATAAAAAAAATTTATCTGAGAGAAGTTGCAGTCGGTACAACAGACACAGATTTTCCAACGATAGAAAATAAAAATGAATTTAATAAAAAAAAAAAGGATCTAACAACGCGTCGTGGCAGCAGCGGCCTGAGCAATGGCATCAAATCAAACAACAATGCTGTTAACAATGTTGAAAGGCGCTTTAACAAGTTGCTTGGTAACAAAACTAACTCTAACCATGCAACGCAGCAAATATCTAACACTAATAACAAAGAAATGAAAATTATTAATAACAACAACAACAACAACAACAACAATATCAGCAACAAGAACAATAGAGAAACTGTCAAACAACAACGTATTAGCAATCATTTTTCTCAAGATAATTTTATCAACGATAGGACAAACAAATTATGGAATAAATCACATGCCATTAAACAACACGATGACGATGAAGAAGATGATATCGAAAGATTGTCAGACAGTGATGCTGCTAATGAATATACACCTGTTCCTGTTAAACAATTGATTCAAGAATTTGAAAAAACCTGTAGACCGGTATTACAATACAAACAAATAAGTCCCAAAGTTATTCCTATTGTTCAACAATGTCCTATTGACACCAACATAGCACGTTTCTTTCAAACTAGAACTAATAATGTTAAATATAATGAGCAAGTAACAAGAAATGATGTGGAAGATGAGGTGGACGACGACGACGACGATGATGATGATGATGATGACGATGACGAAGACGATGAAGAAGATGATGAAGATGAAGTCGAGGATAAATATATACGGTGAGATATTATATTAGGATTTTATACAGTCAAATTATTATTTTAGTCTTTTTTTTTTTCAATTATTTTGATAATATTCTATTCGTATTAGGTTAT